TCTTTTGATCCCCAAAAGCCTCGGACATCCGCGCTGTTCACCAATCACGTGTGTTACATGAAGGTGTGAGTTTGAAACTGTTTCCAACTGTTTTGGAATAGTTCTCAACTAGCAAGCATGCTACTGCACAAGAGGTGAAGTCCGATCGAAACTTCTACATACCCCGCCTTTGTTCTATGAGCGTTTGCTCATTGGACAAACTAGTGAAGTCTCTACCTAAGGTATGAAACAACCACGAAAAAACATCACAACCAAACTCCTACGTGAGCATCGGCTATGCTCCACTGCTACGGGACGTGGAAAATGGTAAACAACAGTTTGTCACATCTCCTATCACAATGCTATGACTTTGTGTCAGAAGCACCATGAAGTTTCAGTTGCTCTCTCAGAATGCTTGCGAGAGATCACTCACCAAGCGTAGAGTAAGATGAAAACATCTCAGCTCCATAGGATCATGTTAGCCTATGGCAACTCATCTTCATTTCTCTCAAGTTCTTCCAACGTTTCAGCTGGAGTTCTATTTACAATATCCTCGTTCTCACGCATCACTTGTTCAAACTACTCAACATCTGATACCTCGTCGCGCTCAGAAAAAAAAATGTCTGTAGCGCTCATCAGCTGTTTCCTCTGGATTGTGAATCTCCATCCAAAGGTCTGGCTGCGACACATCGCTCATGTTTGAATGCACATAGCGTTCATACAGCTCTTGCTCAAGCTTTCATCTGAGTTGTCTCCATGGTTTGGCAGTCCGATCTCATAGTCTTGATAAGCTTTTTGCACCTGAAGAAGAAATTGGTCTTCTGGTACACGACAACAGAGTGATTCTTCATCGTCGCTCAAGTCATTCATAGCTGTGAGGCTATCTCGCATCGTTTGTGGTCATTCCAGCAAGGCATTCGTGTAGCATCTCTGTAAGAGTTTGCATTCTCATTCTGTTGTCCATCACCTTGTTCTGTCGATGTACTCGATGTTTACGTCTGCCAACAAAGTGGGATATTTGGCTCCCAAACTCCTACCATGCATAGCAAACTGTGGCGTTGGAGGCTCGGCAGTAAGCTCAAGCTGAACCACTTCTGTCTCAACCTCTGGTTCATCGGCTGTTTCTCTGTTGCCAGCACCAGAAGGCATCATAAAAGCCAGCATGAACAATAATCCCATTGGTACCATGAGAAACATTGAGCTCGAAACCGCGTGTCACAGACTCAAGGCTTTGTAAAACTTGACAGCCTTAAAGAATCCAGCAATCTGATGTCCTTCTGCCATGTTCACAACGCTCCAAGTGGAAGAATTCTGAGGACTTCTTTGGAAAACTGATTCAGCTTTGAATTGGATTTCTGTTTTGTCTGATCTCCAATTGCATGGGCCCAACTTTGGAGGTTTTGCATTCAATTTTGAAAAGCGATCAAACATGCTGTGAACGTGTTTCTCTTCTGGATGCACTGTGATCTCGGAGTAAAGGCTCTATCACCTGAAAACGCTTCAAGAATTCGAAGCTTCCACCCTTCTCATAGTTGACCACAGTTGAACTCAACTTGATAAAGTCTAGTCTAGCTTCCTAGATCAAACCCAAGTTCAGGAATCAGAACCTCAAAACCTAAACACGGAGTTTCAACCTCGACTCCTAAGTGCAAACGCCAGCTTCGGTCTTTTGCTCGGACGCAACACAAAGGAGCCAAGTCAACAAACAGGACACACCCGCAAGAGGCAAAACCCCAAACGTGTTCGTGCTATGTTGCTGATTGTGAAACTCAGTCCTGTTCAATTCTGAACTTAATGACACCAAAGCTCCCTCGAGCCAATGTCTAGTGAGGAAACGCAATTCCAGGTTCAAAAACCACGACCTTTCCAAAAAGGGCGACTGAACAATTCCAAATTGCGTTGAGTCACAAATTCAGCTAGCTACTAAAGCTTGATCCACTTCCAAAAGTTCTCAAATACCGGGCCAAACCGCAACAAGAGCAAATTTTCTTGATAGCTGCTTCTGCTCATGTAAGGACCGATTTTTTCCGTCCAACGCCTTCATGGCTTCCGCCAGGTCGTTACACACGTTCAATCGCAGCAAAAGATGAATTGTAATTATCATGCAAGGCTGTCTACTTGTCGATACTGTACAAGAAACAAATCGGGACGCACAGAGAGAAAAAGCATGTGTTAACACTTACGCTCATGCTAGTGCGTCGCAAATCTGCTTGCAAAACATCTGCGGGCAGCAGCAAAATTTTCCGATGGCTGGCCCCACTTTTGGATCCAAATCTGGACCCCAAAACGGGGCCCAAGCAAAGACCTAAAAGAAGGAATGAAAATGTGATCCAATTCTGGACGCCATTTTGGGGTCCATATTTGGACCCAAAAATGGGGTCAGCCATCGGAGAATTTCGTTGCTGCCCGCAAATGTTTTGCAAGCAGATTTGCGACCCAGCAACTTGAACATGAATGTCAACACATAACACATACCTTTTTCTCTTTGTGCGTCCCAAGGCCGCTTGCACTGTCGAGGTCCCTCTTTCGCAGCCATGTTTTGAGCACTTTTTTCGTTTTCGGCCCTGTTTTAGGGGCCATGATGAAGCAGGTTTGTTGGCATTCGAGGCGCTCCGAGGCTCACCGCAAAACGTAATGTGTGAAAAACGCAAACCCAAGTACACCTCGTGTGTACCCAAATCAACGCTTTCGTTAAATCACTACGCCAGACGCAAACACCTACTGTGTTTGCAGCTCCGCAGTTACTTACTTCTCTGCAATGTCAAATAAAGGAACTTGTTCCACCCCGACTCCTAAGTGCACGTCAGACTCCTTCTTTTCTCTCCAGACGCCACACACAACGGAACAGGTCAACAAGAACCAGGGCAGGCACACGGCCACAGCCCACAAACAAAGAAAGGAAGCAAGATGTTCCAGTGTGGCTACTGTTTCAAGTGCCCTAGGTGACACTGCAGTTCAGTTCTCTTCGGAACACTCGACACCACTCCCTTGAGCCGATGTCTCAACTGGAAAACTCGATTCCAGGTTTCCAATACACAACCTTCCTTCAAAGGTTGTTGAAACAATTCCAAACTGCTATGATATACAAATCACCTAGTCACAAAAACGTCAGAAACATTTCCAAAAGTTCTCAAGTCAAACTGGTTCTCGTCCAAACGCCAATAACCAGCTAGCCGGTGTTACTAGTCTCTACCAAACGTCTAGACTAGTTACACGGCTATTCAAGAACGAAATGATCCATCCAAATTCCTTTACAAAATCCTCTTGCAATACAGAACAACATGGAACCTCCTGTTCCATCTCTAAACAGTTCTTCACTTAGAGATGTCTTCTCCTAGCTTCAAACTGCAGAGGAGAATAGAATGTTCTGCTCGACCTCTCCAAAACAGCTCTTCACACAGAGATATCTTCTCATAGTTCCAAACCGTCGAGGAGAGCAAAATGTTCTGCTCGACTTCTCAGCCAATATCCAGTCATAAACAGTCATAGCGCTAATGTAGTTCGCTTACTGTCATAACCAAAAGTCAGCAACAAGTCACAGGCATAAAGATCATAATGCAGCTCTCCAGATCAAGTATCCGGAGGTTGAATAAGATACGTAGGCATTGTCCTCACAATGCCGAAGTATCTCGCACACTCGCAAGAGGTAATCAATAGGCTTCACAAACATCTCAGATGTACGAAGCAATGACAAGAATCGAAACGGATGATCCAAAACCATCTCAGTTAGACTCATACTCCTTCAAGAGGTCAAAGAACCTCCGAGATCGATGGAATCATAGCATCCCGATTCAATTGCATAGCGAATGCTTGTGGAAGCATTCGCTCAGTATCATAAAGCTAAATAAAGCTCCAAACTGTACTTGAAGTGTCTTGAACTCCGTGTAGATTCACTCAGACCCACAGGTCGATATCTCAAAGCAACTCCAGCAACTTCAAATACTACAAAGCAATATCGAAACTGCTCAAGTCTGTTGCAGACATCTTCCCATAGTCCAGTTCCACTACCAAATACTCAATGAATGGCAGCTCGCACCAAAGCCAAGTTGTAACCCTGCAAGGGACACAAACTTTCACACCCCCTTTCGAGATGTCATTCATTCTACTCTGTACACACATACGAAAGTCACATCCAACAAGTCCTCGAGATTATCTTGAAGATGTACTGCACTGCTCGTAGATGTTCTTCATCCACCAGTACAATGAATTCCAAATTCTTCTGAAATAACTGTCTCTGAGAATTCAACTGATTTCAGTCCACCTTCAGCTTGGAAGTCCGGTTGAAAGCAAGATAGAATTAATCCAATTCTGGATGATTCTCAAAAAAATAGAAACAGTTGTCTTTCCAATGCTTCGCTCTTCACAATGAAATAGTCGATCCATATCCATAACCATCGCCATCGCTGATTTCAGCAATACTCCAGGGATATCTCCAGAAGCAAAACTTCCACCAATCTTCAGCCAGTCGAAAATCATCAATTCAGAATCCTTATAAACTCTTGCTCAACCAAATATAACAAAGGGGGCCCCCCAACAAAAGAACCCATGGGTTCAACGAACAAGGAGGGGGACCCAACATACTCATAGGCGTACCAGTCAAACAAACATACAACCAAACCGATAACCAAATCAGTACATACGTACAAATATATACATATATATATATATTCACATGAGTACGCACGTGATACGCCGGAGTTTCACAAATAAAATCACTCGGAATTCACTGAAACACATCAATGACAAAGGAAAGGCTGGACATCAGTTTGTTTCGTTTGACCAATGGAGTTTCACTCGGTCACACATGCTGTTCTTTTTTCACGTGGGCAAAGTCTCGATGTCACCGAGCTATGGTTCCATAGGCATTGGAATGAGCCGCATCGTTTCCACATGAAACGTTCACCACTGGCTCCATTATTGTTTTCACATATCACAGCAATTCATCGTCTCCAAAGAAACTGGCACCACAGAGAGTTTACCATTGTCACATATCTCAGTCATTCCCGAAGCTGCTATTGGAGTCAAAGGCGAAGTCGTCGGAGAAAAATGTCAAAAAGACGGTATTCGAGGCCAGCAATGGCGCGATCACACATACGCAAAAATCTTTGAAGTTCAGCATGAATTTGGTCCAGAAAAATGACAATAAAATGGCCGTCGAAACCCATGTCCTGCAAAAGGTCAACTGTCTCCTCAATGTGGCATTGCAACTGGAGGACGGTCATTCGAACCTTGGCAAAGAAAAGGAATTGGTGAAGCAGGACTTGCAGGCGCAAGATACTGGTATGGCGTGCAGCACGTAACATGGATGGGGGTACGGAAATTCAAAGATTTTTACAGGGCTGGAGCCAGAGCTCAAGCACATAGGATCAAAGGCCCAAATGGCCAAACATGCTGTCCATGGACAGATGCGCTGACCAAGTGTCAGCAATGTTGCCATGCAACTATGTAGAAAGATACAGGGTATGGGCGAGAAGAAAAGATGTCCCACATGGGCAATAAACAAAGAGAGACAGGGAGGGAGTGCGAAGCAAGGGGGGGAACAAAAACAGTTGGCCAACTGCCAACGAGCTCACTTGAGGGGAAACTGCATCACTCACAGATTACGCAGTGACCCCAGATAACAAACATTCCACAAACCAGGTTGAATGTTTCAAACAGTTGGGGTTCAAACGAAACAGAAGTTAAAAAGAAACACAAACAAAAAGTCTCTCGCAAACACAGAGTGTTTCTTCTCGCCTCCAACCCCTCCTACTTTTTTTTTGGGGGGGGGTTCTTTTTTTTTTGGTTGAGGTTGCGCACGCCACACCTGCGAGTTGATAAGGTAACAAGGCTAGCGCCTAGTGAAACTTATAAACTCTTGCTCAACCAAATATAACAAAGGGGGCCCCCCAACAAAAGAACCCATGGGTTCAACGAACAAGGAGGGGGACCCAACATACTCATAGGCGTACCAGTCAAACAAACATACAACCAAACCGATAACCAAATCAGTACATACGTACAAATATATACATATATATATATATTCACATGAGTACGCACGTGATACGCCGGAGTTTCACAAATAAAATCACTCGGAATTCACTGAAACACATCAATGACAAAGGAAAGGCTGGACATCAGTTTGTTTCGTTTGACCAATGGAGTTTCACTCGGTCACACATGCTGCTCTTTTTTCACGTGGGCAAAGTCTCGATGTCACCGAGCTATGGTTCCATAGGCATTGGAATGAGCCGCATCGTTTCCACATGAAACGTTCACCACTGGCTCCATTATTGTTTTCACATATCACAGCAATTCATCGTCTCCAAAGAAACTGGCACCACAGAGAGTTTACCATTGTCACATATCTCAGTCATTCCCCACTTTCTTTTCATTAAACGTTTTTTTTACAACTCTACAAGAGGGACCCCTGTCAGAGGACAAACTGCTTGACGCCTCACGGCTCCCAGTTTGACCATCAAGTCGTGACATGCTCTAGATGGCTCATCGGCTGGGTTGCTCTGACTCGGGACTCTGGTGAACCAAGTCCAGGACCGGGCCTTCTCTTCCAGCTTCTCCCAGCACAACAACAGCTCCCGGACGGGTTTGGATCCGGAGGTCCCCTTGATGCATGCATCCATCGAGCTATTGTTGTCAATGAAATAAATAGTGCGAGACCCACTAAGTTGATCGTTCCAGAGGAGCCGGCTCACCAAAATGGCATAGAGCTCCACAAGTCCAATAAAGTGGGAAAACATGGATCCCCACCCCTCAACCAAGCGCTCCGGCACTGCACATGACAAATATTCAAAGCGGTTGTCATTGGACATAACACCCCCGATGGTGTGACCAGCAACCTCGCTTGCTCCGTCAGTAAAAACCAGTATGGGCCGACGCTGGTCGCAACATGGGACCATTCGGGGTTCTCCAGTGGTGAGCCTGTCCATCAGGATGTGCAGAGACTCGACGGCACACCTATCTAGGGTGACGCTCTCATGGCTTTTAATGGCAAGCCGGAACTCGTGCATGGCAATTCTTCCAACCCGACCCATAACCTGGGCATCTGCAAATTGTATGCGGCCCAGGATCCGGCTAGCCTCCTTCGCCGTCAACGTGCCACGGGCCAGAATTCCATTGACTGTATCCGAGACCTCTGTCACCCTGCCGGGCTTGTTCCTCACCAGAACAAAACCATTCATAGATTCGCTGGTGTCAATCTCGACCCCAAGGACAGTGGCTTTTGAGTCAAAGGGCTTCAGTTTATGGTCGGCAAACTGGAACCCGAGCATGTCGAGTAGGAGCTTAGCCATGTTCATTGAGGACTGTTTTAATATGCAAGGTGCCACCATTGGAAAGTCGTCGAAATAATTTCCCCAAAGCAGTCCAGCATGGAGCCCAATGGAGTGGATCAGCCGGGACACGCGGTTAAAATGAACCACGCTGGCCGTCGCCCCAAATGGCAGCACATTGCCAATGAAGCACTTGCATAAATTGTCTGAAGGATCCTTAAGGGCGATGACAGAGAGCCGCCTGCACTCCTTACTGATCGCAAATTGTTTATATGCTGATGACAAATCCAAAACAGAAAGGAGAGGTCGACACCTTACCCTCCAGACGGGCTCCATCACTCCTTCGAAATGAAACATGCCCCAACGCCAATGCGCGGGTGATGGCAGCTGTCATCCACACTACCTGGTCTAAAGTACGCAAATCCAACTTATCTGAGTAGCCATAGGCAGTGTTCACACGGTTTTCTGCGAAATCGTCAATAGGCCGGAGCTTCATTCTATCACCAGAGGACTGCAGAACTGCGAAGCGTCTCACCGGTATCCAAGGCTGCCCATTGAAAATATCATGAACTTGTTCAACTGTATGCGGGCCAGTCATCCAGTGATGGTTACTCGCTTCCTCCACTGTAGCATCCCACAATGGCTGACTCTCAGTATTAAGAGCTGCACTTTTGACCTTGCCAATCAACGCAGGTCTAATGAATTTCGCGCTAGCCCATAACTCCCCTTCAGAGGCTTGCGGTGGTCTGGGTTCAAGCCCAAAGACATTTGAAGGGCTCTGGATTCCAGTGAGTTTGAAGCCCGCATCAATTTCGTCAAAAAGATTGGTGTCAGGCCAATCCAAGCTGCAAGCTATCTTTCTGAGCAGGAGGAGCCTTTTGGGGGCAAGAACTTGTCCAACCTCAGGGTCAAGGCGTGACTTGTGTTCTTTCTCTTGCGCTTCAAGCTCCTCTGCCCAACTCATCCAGAGCTTCATTTTGGAAATTCGAAAATTGCAAACATCTGCAGGGGACGTGGTCAAAATGAAAAATAATACATCAAGCATTTGATCAGGAACGGCATGAAAAGTGTCAAACGGGTGGTGCAACGTCAATGACCTGTCAATCCACTTCATGGGAGTTCTGTAAATACCAAACTTCAAAACTAAGCTGCTCTCGCCTTCCCCCTTTTCTGAAAAACTGAGCAGCTTTGAGCCACTGGGAACCTGTTGAAGGCAGGCCGTCAAGCAACCTTTGGCATCGGTTGTGGGCATTGATGCAGCTGTGACAATTTCAAATCGCTCGAACTCGGAAATCAAAGGTGGCATGCGTCGTCCTGCCGGCTGTTTCTGCATGGCAATCATTCCTTTCTGGTTGACTGCAACATTGTGGGAATCTGCCTCAAACTTCTGCGGAGAAAGTTGCAACGCACTCTGCACAATGGAAACCACTTGAACACACAGCTGTTTGGTATATGCTGCTTCATCGCTAGTAGCATATTTAAAGGTTCCATCACTCTGCCGTGTGCGCCCAAAAGGGGCATGTTCATGGTTGCCAGGACATAGGGCTTGGATGCCGCACATTTCCGGCAAAGTCGAAAGGAAGGATCGGTGCAACTTTCGTGTAGATCCCCATGCGCAAGTATCATAATTGTAAAACCTGCAAGGCGTGTCGGCAATCAAATTAACAAAGCATGGATCAGCCACAAATAGCTAGAGGTCGGGTTTTCGACGCTCCATGGAATGCCCTGCAAGGTGCACTGCATCACAAACTTTGTCAAGCCACTATACAACGCATTTGCCAGTTGAACTCTTTCAAGATCTCTGCCTTCCAAATGTGGCAGTCAAGATGGGTAGTCCTCACTACGCAACTGCTTTGGCCCCCCGCCAGGACCAAGCGGGATTTCTCTGGCACGACTGCATGTTCCGCACGGTGGTGCTGCGTGTATAAAAACAACATTGTAATGTTCAATGATATGGTGAAGGAAGGCCCATCCATGCTCTGTCGACAGCTCCACATTGCAGACAGTGACATACGAGTGAAAACGGTTAGATTTGTGGTCTATGGCCAAGTGCTCAAAACCACTGTCTTTGAAACATTTACTCAACATGGCAGTCCCTGCACATAGTTCTATGATCAAAGGAGCGCCCTGTTTTGTTGTCCCCGCTTTAACGCCTTCTATGGCGGGCAAGCCAGGATCATCCACTGTTGTCGCACCAGCTGCATCCATTGTAGAGTCACCAGTGCCAGTGTTGTGAGGTGAAACATTGCACTCCCCAAGTCAGTTGCTGCGTTTGTTTGGGCACGTCTGGAAGGTATGACCTGACTGAAAACAATTCTTCATGCAGCAAATATGCATACCTTTCCGGCAGCGGCCTTTGGTCACGGGCAATTTGCAACCATGAGGAAGGTTGTGGTCAAAACATATGGGCTGGTTGTTGCGGTTTCCAGGTGCCCCGCCTTCCAGCCCAACAGGCATCTTGATGGTGAGCGATCCGCCGCCTTGTTGACCCTTAGACTTTCCCTTGCCCTTATTCTTTGGCCTGGGGACTTTAGCCTCAGGCCTGTCATGACTGGCATCACTTGTCCTCTTGACGGAAGTGCTACTGCTATTTGGCAAAGGCTGCAACAAATGTAAAACATCAGGGTGCTCCATGGTGTTCCTAAAAATTGCATCCAGTGGTCGGCCTGTGGCTGTGGTCTGGACACCTGACCTGCTCCCTTCTGCAAGTTTCACAAACAACTTCCGGTCTGCGTTGATAATCTGCTGCATGCTGATTTTGGTATATCCGTCTGGTTGACTTGCGACGCGACAGTCAAAGATTTTTTCAACCCACCTATCGTGCTCCAGGTAGTCCAGCAAGTTCGCCTGGTCAAAGGCGAGGCCTCGTCTCATCAAAGCCAACCTGACAAACATATCTGATGACAAATCTGCTTCCATTTTGTGTTCCTTGTCACGTATGCGGACAGCCCCACTTGCGTCAATTGCAACATGTTTGTCCTCACGCTGGGATGAGTTCAAGACCTCCTGTTCTTTCGAAGTGCACCTGCTAAGTTCAACATGCTGCAATCTGTTTTCCTCGTACAAGGACACTGCAAGATCGACCAGTCTGTCGCTTGGTTCCAGTTTTCCTTCAATACGGATACCTTTGAGTTTGGATTGCTGACGTTTCAACCTATCTGCACGTTCAGGCTGTGCTAGTTTCTTTACTGGCATGTCCTCAACTCGTTCAACTGAGTGCTTAAGCTCCGCTGCTGTAAGGCTGTAGGCCTCGTGAAAGAGCCTCCTCAGTGAAGCAAGTTGTCCAAGGGTTGGATCTGCACCTAAAGCAGTTGTCATGGCCGTCACGAATGGGGCCTCATCTGAGTTTCCTGGGACATATGCAGAACTGAAGGCAAACTTTGCAAGTGTGTTTACACCATTAGTGCACAAGGCTTCAACGACGTCATCTGCCAATCCAAGCGCAACCGCTCGGGCCCTGAAGTTTGGCTCACTGTCAGTGAGTGACATTGCAGATTAACTCCTAAAGGCAAGAAACGGGATCAGTTTATCATGAAGGTATTGAAGGATTACCTTAGGTCAGGACTATGGGTAATTGAGGAAACTCCTATTAAAGCAAAGGATTATGGGTGTGTCTGACAGTCTTATGAAATCATGCATTTGTGTTGCATGGGATCCCAAGTGGACCCCCTTCGACAAGGCGTCAAGTACGCCGCTTGAACCAGCACATCAACCAAGTGTTGATTGACCCAATTGGTCACGCCCAAATGGCACTCAGGTTCAATTGTTGCGCAACATGCATTACTGCTCATGCGTTTCAAGATTCCAAAAAGAAAATGAATCATGGTTTCAAGTTGTCAGCATGGTCACACAGGGTCAGGAAGTTTTTTCATCTCAGCCACGGGCATCTCTGAAACACTGGCTGCATTGTGGTGACATAAACTTCGGCCTAATCTCAAGCTCTTCATATTTGTTATTGATCTCCCTGCCGCATCGAAACTTGTTGCCCCCCTCCTCTGAAAGCAAATGAATGTATCTGGTGAATCGGTTCCTGAAGAGCGGGGCGTCCTCTTGAACTCCCAGGGCTTCAAGAGTTGCATGTTCATTCCATGAGCCTACCACGTGGTCCATGGCTGCCTCATTCATGTTTTGTTCCTCAAAGGCATGCTCATCGTCGCGGGAGTCTTCAGAGTCTGTGTCACTGAAATCCACTACCGTGTCAGTTTCAGGGGTGCCAACTCCAGAAAGGGCCTGTTCATTTTCAGGCTCAAGTCGACGACCCTGCATTGGAAAGTACCCAGATCGCGTGGCATCAGGGACAAAGGTCTCCTCCCTGACACAAGCAAGGCATTCCTCAAGCTTCCTAACCGGTCCAGCAGATGCATCACGTGAATACAGCAGGGCCATCTTGTCGGCACTCGGCATATGATATCCCAAATGTTGCCTGATACTGATTGGGGCCCCAAACTTGGCCATCCAGCTGAGTGTTGTGGTCTTGAGCGAATGTGTCCCGATGTTCCCAAGCGCTCCAAGCGGGATACCCGACACCTGCAGCAGTTGCCGCAACCAGTCAGCACCTTCTCCAGCTCCAAGAGGTGTCTTTGTCCATCCGCCCTTGGAAGGATATGGCAGCATCGGCATAGCTTCACCCCTCGGTTTTCCACACCTGACACCAACTTCCCTCCAGGTGGTGAACCAGTCAGCTCCGGTAACACCAAAACGCGGTGCAACCATCGGCAGGTACTTCGTTTTCATCTCGGTTGTGTAGGCTGATTTTGTTCGACCGACTTCCCTTCAATGTACCCATGGGGGCTCCCATCAACGACAATTTCATCCAAAATGAGATCCTGCAAGTTCATCATATCTGAAAAACGGGCCCTGAAGAAAATGCACAACAAGAAACATCCTGCCGCCACCCGGTCTCGGTCTGGATACCTGTCAGCCATGACAATCTTCTCCAGGTGTTCGACCATTGCAACACTAAGAGGGTCCTTCTGCAGGGTTCGTCTCTTCTTCAGATAGGCTTCACGTGCACACCCTTCTACCCTTTTGCTTGCAAGGACTGTATCTCCACCAGTAACCCCAAGGACATGGAAAGAAAACCTGATTGCAACCAAATAAGACCGTAGAAATGTTGGTGCAGAAGTGTCAGCATGTTCACACATGAAATTGTAAACCGTAGCCTCAACCAAAGGAAATGCTGGAATGCCGTTCTTGTCACACCACATGATATACCGCAGGACTGGGCTTGCACGCGCATGCAGAGTTCCTGTAGCCTTACCCGCAAAAATGTGCTTCAGACCATCACCCAAGGCCTGTCCCATAGGTGACAAGCGGTCCCACTGTCTGCCAATTTCAAATGAATTCAAATACATCATAATGATTCCAGCCCACTTCCGAATCGCTGCAACCCGCTGAGAATTGAGCAAGGCCTCCCAGGAACGTCCTGTCACAGTTCTCTTGGCTCTGAAGATCCTCAACGCCTCAGGTCTGTCAGAAGCTTCGTCATCACCTTCATGCTCAGGGGTGGCCACTGCAATCACTCCACAAGGCTTTGGAACCAGAGGTATACTGCTGCCAGGAACTGAAATTGGAGGGCGCGCAACATAAATTGGATTGAAAATTGACCCCCACACTGCACGTTTTGAAAAAGCCAAATGCGATTCATAAGCATCCATGTCATTACAGCTCATCCCCACTTTCAAACCAAAGTAAATAGGCAATGGCTGCGAAAAATCCCACAGTGAATGACAAAATGCCACAGCAGACCAAAAGTGGAAAAGAATTGGATGACACATGCACTGATGGAGTCCGAAGTGCAGCCAGCCCCTTCTGGAGAGCCGATGCAGTGCGGAAGGCCGCGGGCATCAACGTATGAACAAAAACAGTTGGCCAACTGCCAACGAGCTCACTTGAGGGGAAACTGCATCACTCACAGATTACGCAGTGACCCCAGATAACAAACATTCCACAAACCAGGTTGAATGTTTCAAACAGTTGGGGTTCAAACGAAACAGAAGTTAAAAAGAAACACAAACAAAAAGTCTCTCGCAAACACAGAGTGTTTCTTCTCGCCTCCAACCCCTCCTACTTTTTTTTTTGGGGGGGGGGTTCTTTTTTTTTTTGGTTGAGGTGGCGCACGCCACACCTGCGAGTTGATAAGGTAACAAGGCTAGCGCCTAGTGAAACATCAAATCGTACCAGGTATCTCTTCAGAACGATATCTATCTTCCAATACCAGATCATCAACTGATCGAAGGAACCATGGCGTCAATTCGCGACCAACTACGGTGCTGTTTGTGGTTCCCTAGAACAAACGAAAAACACCAACAACACACACACACACGAGATCCAAGACGAAGACAGACGAAGCACTGTCGGAGTCAACACAAAAACAAAGGCCGACTGTTTCAGCTAATCCGCATCCTCCAATGGAAGATAAGCGTGTCAGACAAGCGAAACTGTCGTTAGTTCAACAATACTCAGACAAAACTCCACATTCGTGGTATCACTAGTCTTAAACGTGATTACATAGTTGTACCACGCAAACTCAGCTTCAAACAAGCTATATACTATATGTGCTGAGCTTCGGACACGCTAGATACCAAGCGCTTTAAGTTTCGGGCACGCAGGGTACTAGATGCACTAAGCTCAGGGCAAGTCTCCAAGGCTGGACCTTGTCCCCCTTTTGAGATAAAGTCCATCAACCTTCAAAATGAATTCTGGCCATCATAAAAGCTGATCTATTACGTTCTACATGGACTTCAATCTTCTTATTAATTATATATATATTTTTTTTTTACTTACTTAAATATATATAATTAAAAAACAGTATAAATAAATCTCAGCTTCCAAACGAGTTGAAGTTCTAATGAAATGCAAAGGCACTCGGGCTTTATATTCATTTCCCTTTTTTCGCTTGCTGGATGTAATTTGATCTCCAGGTTCACAACCAATACATTTCTTTGGTTGAATTTTCAGATGGATATCAAAACCCCGGCATAACAACGCACAAGTCATTGGGTAAAAAATGAAAAACCAACTGAATGTGTGTTGTTGTTGATTTTTTTTTGGGGGGGGGTGAGATATCCACTGTGGTAACTTCCGATCCTTGGGAAAAGGAAGTGATTGTCGCAAATAACGCATGGTGAATGCAAACGGAAATTAGTGAAACATGCTGCAACGGCTGCAAAAGGATGACACCTACGGTGGTCAATATTCCTCGATGTGGAGGATGAATGAATGTTTCCAATCAGGGCAGACGAATGCTGGTATCTCCGGTTGGAGAACGGATGCTGTGAAAAAACGAAGGAGATCTCAATGGATACGATCCTTGAATTTGGTCTTAGGATTTTCCCAAGGTACCAAAGTGTCGAAACATGGAAGCTGTGGAGAATCATAATTCTCCATCCCGAAATAATACAAGACAATGGATAAGAAATAAGGAGTGGGATGGGTGGGTTTTTTTATGAATGTATAAAACGCAATCAAACAGAAACGCAAAGAAGATTGAAGTCCAGCTTGATCCAAAATGTTTCAGGGAAACAAAGATCTGAAAGTACCCTGTAAAACATAAACGAAACAAGTACGTTAAACGTTCTACATGGACTTCAATCTTCTTATTAATTATATATATATATATATATTTATTTACTTACTTAAATATATATAATTAAAAAACAGTATAAATAAATCTCAGCTTCCAAACGAGTTGAAGCTCTAATGAAATGCAAAGGCACTCGGGCTTTATATTCATTTCCCTTTTTTCGCTTGCTGGATGTAATTTGATCTCCAGGTTCACAACCAATACATTTCTTTGGTTGAATTTTCAGATGGATATCAAAACCCCTAATTTAACTATCTGGGAATTCAACTCGCCGAACATAAACCCCAATTGAAAAGTGAGGGGAATTCCAGCAAGCGAAAATCGGGAGGCTACCAGCTAGGCAACGTCCAAGGAATGGTGGCCTGTGTTGGAACTAATGTTGGCGATCTACGGATGTTCCATAAGTCTGAAAGGGAGATACGGATGCGATCTGTCAATCGGAAATCATGTGGTGGGCTTCCGGATTGGTCCCACCTGCTGAGGTCGTCTGCCAAGATGTTTTGTGAGCCTGGAATGTGGCTCACGTCAATCTCGATTCCTAAGATGGCTGACATCAGGCACATGCGTTCCAGGAAAATGGCAAGGGGATAGGTCATGCTCCAAAGTTTATTACTTCCGGATTCGGCTCCACTGTTGTCACTCAAACTTTTTAAACAAATTGGCATGCGATGAGCTGGAAAAAATTGAGCTGTCACGAACAGTAAGGCGATTTGAGCCAAGGTCTCAAAAGAGGAGATGGATCGTTGCATTTCGGATTCCAACTCAATGTTCAAGTTTGCAAAATCTGAATGTGAATAAATTTCTGAAAACCAGTATACTTTGCCGGAGTCGGATTTGACAAATCCCCCAATTTCACATGTGTCACCAGCTGCACATGCGTCTGCAGCAGCAATCCCAGGCCAGTATGTCTTGGGTGTCAAAGGTTTCATGGGGGATAAGCCTGAAAGCCATAACATAAATTGTTGAACAATACGCAAGCTCGAAGGTGAAAGTTTGCGTTTGGTGGAAGCGGGGTCTCTGATGCGAAGCCAAATTCGTTTATTGGATACATGTACTTTGGCCAAATCATTCTTGGTTTGAACAGTTTGATGACGCACCGCCAGGAGTTGTCCACCAATTGGCAAGGCCGTCCCAGATGGACGAGAGGTGAAATTCAAATTGTCATCCAAATAAGATGAAAAAGCTCGCCAATCACCATTGTCAATACTGTAATGTGTAGCAGGAATGGAATACAAATCATGGTACCAGTGTCGAATCCAAATTCGCATGTACGGCCAAAGTTGAGTTAACCAAAGGGCCAGGCCGATCAACTTCTCCAAATTGCGCTTGGAGGTACGGGAGCTCCGCCCCATTGATCGCAAATAATCTTGGAATTTCTTGATTTTGGTGACCGGGATTTCGACAAACCCTGACCTCAAGTGAATTTTCCATCCAATCCATTGTATGCTGAATGCCAACTCGCATTTTTGCCAAGACACAGGGATGTTTGTAATCTGACTCAGGATACAGATCATTGTAGCCGAGAGTGGCATGCTGAATAATGATTGGAAGAACAAGAAGTCATCAACGTATAACAAGGCAACGTGTGACCACCAAACAAGAAAGTGGAAGAGCCTGAGCATCCAGCCACCAAGTCTGGACCACCACGCTGCCGAGAATGGGGCTCCGAACGGAGCGACTCTATAAAAGTACAACTTGCCCTGCACAGTAAAGCCTAGAAGTCCATGTTCTTCTTCTCGAACGAAGATTCTCTTGTGGGCTGACTTAATGTCTAACGAAAATCCCATATGGTCACCAGAAAAATTCCTAATTGGGAATGTGCGTAACACGTCCTTGATAGAAGGCAATGTACTCCGCTCAGGTATACGGCACCTGCCGTTGAGGCCGCAGATGGTCTGGTCAAGGACCAGGCGTGGTGCTCTGCCTTCCGAGTGTGCAATTCCTAATTTGCCTAAGGCAACGCCCAATGGGAATTGTTGTTGTGCATCCTGTAATGATCCATCAAATTCAAAAACCCAACCGTTCGCTATCTCCTGTTGCACGAGACTTTGGGTGAGCGCAATGTCATCTTCTGCGCTCTGCCAGTTAACATGGTGAGCGGAGAGCGGTGGCTCGGCAACGTCAGTAGGATCACTCATAGGAAAGCAATTGCTTGGCGTAATATCATGTTGAAATCCAGTGCCCACGCCTGCAATGAGTGATGGGAAAAGAGATTGGTCAGGATCGCGCATCAATTGATTGAGACATTGTAAAATCTCCAAACACATTGGTTGGTGGGGCCGAACCTGCCAGTCAGGTGAAAAGCCCGAATCTCGCAAAAAATTATCCAAATCTTGTTTGAAAGGAGCCAAGACCGCATCTGAAAATGGCGGATGCGCATGCACCTCCTGAGAAAAATATTGCAACAGATCTTTATCCAATCGTTGATCAATGATTCGTCGCATCCACTGCTTCCGCAAAGGGCCAAAAACATCAGGGGCCGAACGTTCTCCCATGCTCCAATCAGGATTAGACGGTAAGCCACCGCCATCCTCTTGTCCAAAAGGCGGTTGCAGTGGTTCCTTCTTAGGTGGAATAAACTGGATGTCATCCCACTTCCAATCATGGGATGTCTGGTGAACCAATGGTGTAACCAGAGGTGCAAATTTTGTTGCCAATGCCTCTGGGTAGCATGCAGTCTGGCGACTTAAATATTCCCCCGTTTCTGATCGGGTTCCGACCAAGGACTGATGGCTCCCTGCAGGGTGTGAACACAAGCAACCAAGTGCAGAAATAGGTTGCCAACTACTTGCAAACATCCATTGTTTGTACCAACTTTTGCCGTACTCACATGCAGAAATGATTGTGCACCAGGCCGAAACAAGCAATAAAAAGGACTTCACGCATTCCTCCAGCCAACTCATAGCTGAAGGTGGTTGCTCTAGGTGGGCATGTCCGCCCGCTTGAAAAATCAAAGTTAAGCAGGTAATGGTTCTGGATAGCATCATAAACGACTCTTGCACCTGCAAAAGTTCGGCACTGCTGAGGCCTGGGACTCCATCCAAAAATTCTGGTGTACGCAATGCTTTGGGTCCTGGCCGGTGTAACTTTAACCTGGAATAATGGGCACAAGAAGGAGATGCCGCACCATAGGCAACCTGGCCTGATGAACATATGCGCAAGAGTTGTTCGTAACTCCCATCATTCAGTAGATCCATCCGCTGATCTAAGAGGATATCAAAGGACAATACATTCCCATGCTGTGCCAAAATGGCTGAACTCAAAGGTCTGGTGGCACCGGAACATATATCCAGGAACAACTTGGAGTCCCCCTGATTGAAGTTAGGTAATGAAGGTGAAATTAATGTTGGTGAAACCGATGGAACCTCTGGCTCTCCCTGGGTCATTTCGACCTCTGTAGCCTCCTTAGGAGGAATGTCGGGAGCTACTGCCACAGCCACGGCACTGGTTGAGGCCGCTGAACCTGAGGTTCCTGCTTCTGATTGCTCTAGTCAGTGAGTTGTATTCTGATGCTGCAATGCTCCATGCTCCAAGCCGCATGCCTGTCCATTCACTGGGTAGGCGCAAGCATGATGAAAACGGCAGGAATCGCCTAAAGAGCAATTCCCTGTTTGATACCTCATGCACAACTGTTTCCACTGACCTTCTTTGGTTTTTGCATCTGTCAACCATTGAACCTTGCCTTTGCCTTTTGATTTTCCTTTACCCTTGGAGGGTTTGCCTTTGCCCTTGCTCTTGGATGGACCTGAAAAACTGGGCTGTGATGGGGCCGAAGGGATCTTCATTGGACGTGGCCTCAATTGCAAAAGTCCTGGCAGGTCATGACGAATGTGTGTGAACTCGTGTAGGCAATTATCCATATCCCATCCACGCTCTGACATTAAATCTGCAATTGCAGCCCAGATTTGGCGGTCCGCTGACTGCGCTTCTGTAATGGATGCACAACGCAACATGCTCTCTGGGTCCACCTTCTGGGTCAGGAAGCCGAGAAATTTTGCTGAGTAGGCCTTGAGGTTGGCCAAATGGGCTCCACCGCACATTGCCACTGCCATGTCATGAACGGCCAACAGATTTCGGGCTGCATTAACGCCAAATCCTGTGTTTGATATATCAATGGCTGGTGGTTCATCCACCAACAAATGATGTAAGGAGGCTACCTCCAATTTTGGCATCTTGGTCTGTCGCTGAGAGGTGACCTCTTCGGATTTCGCCATGGTCAATCTATATTTCCAGGGGATCCATGCCCATTGTTTCTTGCCCAATTGATGGTGCACAAGGTTAAGCAGTCTCGTGCTTGGCATGGTATCATGATTGACCAACTCTGAAGGGTAACTGGCCAAAAATTTGGTTTTCATCTGATCAATCACTGTTGCATCTAACTTCGGTGGAAAACTCTCCGCCCAAGTTCCAGGATTCGCCATAGGATCCGAAGCCGCTGAGGCAGGTGCAGCCTGGTTATTGGTTAATGCTGGTTGTGTCATTTCTTGACACATCTTGAACGCAGCCCTCAGCGAAGCTTTCTGCAGCAGTGAAGGTTCTTCCTCTGGAAAAAACTCCGGCCACAGGCGATCAAACGCTTCTAAATTCACCGCAGCACACGCAAATGTTGGAACCGTCCAGCCCATTTGCACCAGCTGTGATGCAATGACTGGTTCAACGCCACATGCCGACATGGCATCCTCTAATGACTTTGTAGTCATGACGCAATTTCCTAAACAAAGGAAAAATTAACGCCGAGTATTCTCATCAGGAGATGAGGATTAATGCATGAAATTGACGCCTGCCTTGATGTTGTGAAAACCTGTTGAATGATAAACAAAAAATTTGGCCCATGGAAAAAACACACGCGACTGACCTATCTGAACTGCGAAACGAGCTGAGTGCCGGACTTAAAGGAAATGGGTCATTCCTTGTCCACATAGTCATGGGGATACCTTTGATCTTTTTGTCACCGGTATGTTCTTGTTTTTTTTACAAATTCTTTTTTTTTAAATGGCTGCGGAAAAGAGCATATATTGAGCCATGATGCAAGCACATAACTGTGGAGGAATTGAGAAAAAATGTGATTGTGAAGTCATGCACATCAAGTTTGTGGAACGCTGCCGATGAAACCCCTGCTGCAGGGGCATGAAATGATTTCTTGACTGCGATTTCTCAACGTTGTGAGTGCAGCTCTGAACGCTTTTTTCTTTTTTGTGGTGCAAATTCCAGTCACTGCAAATTTGTGGCTGCCCACACCCTCTTACAACCTGCATGTTGGCAAAATGCCATAGAAGGGTGCCATTCATCCAAAAATTCAGTTTCCGAATGTCTCATACGCGCGCCACAGGACGCCTTCCACAAATGCCCCATGAAAAAAGGTCTGGACTCATTGCCGTCATCCATAATCACCATAGCATGGGTGACCCGTCGATGGCGAGCAAACACAGCTTCGTCCGCTTGTATTGGTTCCTGCTTCTTGGGGTTCATCTCCTGAGCTGACAAAGCCTGTTCAGAACCTTTGCTGTCAGTGTCACTGTCGCTGCTGCTGGAGTCCGTATCGGATTCTTCAGAGACCACCTCTTGAGCCGGTGGCAGTTCCTGGGGTTCCTCATGGTGATGAAATGGAAGCCATTCAAACCTGTAGTCAGGTGCCGCTTTTTTGTAGCGCTCTAAGACAACCGTTGGCTCCACAAGAGGAAACTGTCCCCCTCTATGTTGTGCAGTTTTAGGCCTCCATCCTTGTTGAATCTGTGATGTGACTGTCTGTTGATAACGGAGAGAACCCCAAACGCTATCGCGACCATACAGATTTAAAGATTGTTTCTGATCCTGGTGATGTCCTTGTAAAAGACGATCTGAGTCGCTGACCAAAGTGCCCAACTGTGGCCCAAAGCTCAAAAGCGTGGCTTTCATGGAATGAAGTGTGTAAGTCATCTGAAGCCGCTCTAATGGATGGTCCCCTTGAAAGCGCTTCCATGGGGTCATCAACATCGCTCTGAAAATTTTGGTTGTCCCCGCATAGTCCAATGGTTCAAACTCTGAGATGGTGCCATCCGGTTGCATGGCAGGAATCAAAAAATCACATTGTGAACGTGGAATTT